ATCTTTCTTTTCTGTAGTGTCTAAAAATAGCCATATGTCATCAGCAACCCTCCCATGTATATTGAACTTCCTTAGCACATCAGCTTGTCTCTTTGAATATGTTACCTGATGTCTTTAAAGTGGCAAAACACAGAAAAGTGGGTCCTCCTAGTCTTTTGTTTGTCAGACACGTAAGAGTGAGGAATATGGTAGAGACAGGAATATGGTATTTATTGTTGTTCCTTATCTATTCTATCTTTGCTTTTTAATTTCTCCTTTTCTTAGTTCAACTAGCAGAATATGGCTCAAATCAGTTCTACACTATCCAGCAGTTAAGTATGGCTATCCTTTATTGACAGGGAGGAACCAGGGCTACTGAGTGCTGGTGTGCTTTTTGTTAGATCTTCCACAGCAACTGTGGTTCTCCAGCTCAGAATGTCTGTCCATGTGCTTTATTAGGTGTTCACAGTTTTTAACATGAGTGGTCTTCTCTGGGAAATAACAGAGGTAAAACAACAGCCTTTCTGCTCAGAATGTAGGCATGAGTGCTTGAGAACCATTACAATGTGTCTGGCAGCATGTACGTAAATAACAGAGAAGGATAATTCTTCTCAAAGATCTAGATCGGACAGGTAAGCTTTAATTAAAGTTTGAAAAGCTTTTATTTCAAGAGATACATTCAATGTTTTCTAAAAGCTTGCTCAGCAATCTTGGTTCTGTGGTACCGTATGTGAAGGACCCTCTTCTTCTTCACCATTTAGAGTGGCATTGTGTAAGTTAAGACATTAAAAAGGTTTTAGTGTGGTGAGATGGGTGATATCTTAGCTAACTAGGACCATAATTTAAATGTAGCCCTACCAGTGCATAGTCTGTCAGGGGAATGGGCCCACAGCATTTTCTATTGCTGTTGTATGTTGAAAATTCTGGAATGCAAGTGCTTTTTCTGCTTCCTAAAAGAGTTGCAGTCTCACAGAAAAGCAGAAGTGTACCCAATTCGGAGCTCAGTTCATTGTCTGAAACTTGGCTTGATCATCCATGACAGAGGACCGAGTGTCTTGTGGCACTGCTATTTGACTATCCAGTAGCACTGAAGAGTTCATGAGATACCCATGGTTACCTTGGCAATAAAGTGATGAGATAGTCTCAGTAGAATGGGAATTTTTAGAGGTGGTGAGATTTTCAAAGCTCTTTCTTTTTTTATGACTGTTAACTCATTTGTTACTGAGATTAACGTTTAAACAGACAATTAAGGGATGCTTTTAATAGGCTGAGAAAAGTTAAAGGATGTCAGTGTATTCTTTAATCCTGCCTTTTGGAACAATCCCTAGCATTTTGTACTCATGCTTTTAAAGGGTGAATAATTTAGATTCTCTTTATTACAAACTCCCCTCTGTGTTTCTTTCTCTGAATATAGCTTTCTAAATAAGAAAATAAGCTAATCTTATATGAAATTCTATAACCTGTACCTCTGTCTGAGTAAAATTATTACCTACATATATATAAACTCCCAAGTCTACTACAAAATCCAACTGTGCAGGGCATAATTGTAATTTAATTTATTGGAAGCAAATTGACAACACTTACACTGGAAAAAAAAACCAAAAAACAAAAAACAAACCACTTTAAATTATACAGCACAATGTGGGAAAGCCATCATTAAACATCTTGAAATCTTGCCTTCACATTTGCCATGCATTTGGCAGGGTTTGGGTCATGAAATCCCAACCCTTAGATGTTCAGAGCAAAAGGAGCCCTGTGGTACCCTTCTTCAGCCCTGTGGTACCCTTCTTCACATACCTGTGCATTTAAGGCTGTAATGACATTCGCCTGCAAGAGATTTGCAAAGCAGGTAAAGCTCTTAATTCATCTCAGGAAGTTACGTGATGATGAAGTGACTTACCATCTTTGCAACCATACTAGAACGTGTATTCCTACCAGAAAGTTCAGCCACTGCAGGGGTAACTGGACTAACATCTCTGGACATCCAGCAGTGTACAGACTAAACTATAACTTTTGCTAAGATAATATGGAAACTGACAACAAATTATTACTTGTGGTCTTTTCCCAGTTTTCAAGTGCAAACATACCAAAGTTTATTTTAAATCTAAGCCAGTCAGACATTTAGTAATATAGATCAAAGCAGAAATGAAGGCCTCCCATGCTTATTATTTCAATATGATGTCTGTTCTAATAAAGTGTAAGAATGCCTGTGATAGACTAACTAGTAGGAATTTTCTGGTTCTGTAGTTTAGCCTTAAATATATACATGTATTTGTAAATTAACCAGAAACACATTGTCGTGGTTTCAGTTCCTCGGAAAGCTGATTGTTTTCAATCCTTTCTTTAATCTTAGAAATATGGTGGCAGTCTGCCAGCACACTTTCAGATAAACAGTCCACTTCACATTTAAAAGCCGTAGAATCACTGATATTGAAGGGGGGAAAAAATCAACAGAAAACAACACCAGTTCTCTCTCTCTCTTCCCCAAAATGCAGAACATTATTTAATAAGTTGGAGTTGT